GGAAGCAGCGAGTCGGTCGTTCAAGGGTGACTTGAAGGAAGTCATGTGAAGAAGAGATGAAAGTATGTGGCAGACTTGGAGCCAGGTGAAGACTCTAGCAGAGAACCGAAAGCAATGGAGACGCACAGCTGAAGCCCTATGTTCCTCAAGGAATTAAAGGAAAAAATAATATAATAATAATAATGCAACTTATATTGTTCGTCGTCAGTTCAGATAAAGAATGATCGCCAACCAAGCAACTGGTCAAAGTTTGTCCACCAGCCAACGAGAGCACTCCTACACCTCATCATCACATCATCAGTGTCAGGGTGTACACCGTCAAGTCAACTCAAACAGTCGAATCAATTGAAACCAACCTAATTCTACTTAGCTACACATGAGAAAACGTGTGATACACTTTATGAAATTCAGGATTCATTGTAATTTGAAAATTAACACAACAGTTCGAGGAGATGAAATTCCAGCACAAATTTCCTTTCGAAACCAAAATTATTCAGATTACCAAAACACATGTGACCTGGTTGATACTTGTATAAATGGTAATTCAGAAAGCACAAATGCGTAACTATATAATAGTGATTGGTTGATTAAGATGAGTAGTTTTATATGCCAACCATTCACATGGACCAGCACTTAACCACTAACTGACTTCAACGACTCAGGGATTGCCTACTTACCAGGGAATAATCTCATTGACCCAGAATACACTGGTAATATGGTCCTTCCTCCAAGGTGAAGACGCTAACAAAACTGCAGTCTCCCGAACACCTTGAGCATGAGCAGCAATCTCCGAATGTTTGGCATGCTATTCACTCCTGTTGTCAAATGTAAGATGATGAGGCTACAGGACTGAACTGGACTACATTGACTCTCAGCTTAAAGATAGGCATGAGTGAAGTGGTAGAGCGTGTTGACCACTTCACTTATTTGGGAATTCGCATAAGCCAACATCCGTGGGTTGATGGCTGACGAGATCTCAGTATGGATACAGATGGCTAGTTTGGCATTCGCCGGCCAACATACGACATCTCTGGCTGAGTAGAGGTGATATCCAGTTGGTTGTCAACCAAAAGGGCTTGTATATTGCTCAGCGGTTCGCTCTGTCCTCCTTTATCGCTGTAAGCTAGACATGGCCATCAAAAGTAAAAAGATACGAAAAGGCTGGCTGTCTCTGATCATACGTGTCTGCTTTCTGTCACCCGTATTAATTGGCATAATAAGGCGAGCAGTTTTGAGGTTAAGCTACGATCGAGTGAGAGGGAAAGTCAATCCACGAGGTTGTGAAGCGGATGCATCGATTGAGAGAAATAGTTGGGACATGTGTTACGCATGCATCCCAAGCTATCGCCTCCGTCGACAATGGGCAATGTTAGCTGACTGACATAGGATGGATCAGGTTGGAAAAGAGAAAGCTAGTGGTAGTCAAACCAAAAACATCGCTTCACCAGTCAATAAAATCCACAACAGTTAGTTTAAGCCAGCTCGCCACCTAGGGAGGTATAAACTTCCTGACTGCCTGGTTGGAGACCTCGAGATGCTAAAAACCAATGAAGAATGGAGACAATTGGTGATATGGCTCAAAATAGTTCTCAAGCATTCACTCCTTGTGATTTATGACATTTATTAAAACTCTATTGGTTTTCCATATTAATATTCTTTTTCCTTCGCATTTCTGTTTATTATCCCTGTCTATTTTGAATTTCTCTTTACCCTCTTCTCTTGCTTTGTGTAATGTATGGAGGGAGTTTGGCAACTGGAAGTGCTGAACAAATGTGCAAAGTTCTACGCTGAAACCAGTCAGTTAGTCAGTGGACCAGTAGTAGTCCTTCCCAGCCGGATTGAAATCGTTCAAACACCGAATGGCTGTTTCGTTTCTGTTTTCGACCAGGCTGATTACTCATGTGCAGCCAATGTGACTCATTTTAAACCACTCCATAACTAATCAAGAAATATCCCATTCGATTAACACATCTACATATAATAATATAAGCGGTGTAATACAAAAGATTCGAGATGAACATAGAGAGAGGGGGGAGGGCTGCGAAGAGATGGCGCATGCTATACAACTACTATTAACAGATGAACGTAGAGGATCAACTTACCGCCAACTAACTGACTAACTTATTGACAACCTCATGACTAAAATAAACTAACAGGAATTAAAGCAAAACAACAATAACAACAACGTTAAAACAATCAGAATTTAAGTAGTATATAATTGATTAACGACAAACGAAAAAAAAGAAAGAACAGAGGAGAAAATAATGCGAGAGGGGGAGGGAGGCGAATAAATGTGAATTGTAATAGAAATAATAACAATGATTATTACCATTATTATTATTATTATTAATCTCACTATTAATAACAGTACTGTCAAAAGAAGAAGGAAATGTATATTGTCTTGTCTTGCCTTATTCGAATCAGCTGTTCACAGTTTGTCAATGTCGAAGAGAGACTGAGAGACTGGTGGCGGGGGGAGAGGAGAATTGCGTATATATATTGTGAAAACAAACAAACACGTGTATATATATTTGCATATAAAAGACAAAAAGAAACCTCGTGTTTTCCATGAAAAGAAAAAGATAAAACGGAAAGAAATTTATCGATGCATGTATGCAAGTGTGATATTAGAGGAATACGAAGATTGGGAATATTATGGCGCCTGCACACATACACACACGCACACAACAAAAGCAGCTGTGAAAAAGGGGAGGGGGAACTGGATGAAGGGTGGCGCACGGGGGAAGACAAAATGAACAAATCACATGATTCTGATTTAGAATGCGCGAAACAATGAGTGATTCGCACACACGCACGCACATTCAGAGCCTCAAAAAAGGCATACGAACAATCGTCAATGAATAATCATTTTAATTCAGCTCCACAACAAAAGCAAATAATGACCGCGGGGTGGATAAAAAAATATTACAGTCGTAGTCAGCAGGAAATTATATCAACACACACACAAACACACATAAGGTGGGAATATGATGAGATGGTGACGAATAGGAAACTGTCAAAATATTGGTCATAGAAATCTATTTTCGTAGAGAGAGAGAAAGCAGTTATGACACATCGAGAACACCAAGGATACACATATCAAATACAGATGTGTGTGTATACTGTTCCAAAAAGAAAGTCGACGGAAGAAAATGAATGCACGAGGAAACAGAACAAGAAGAAGAGCTTAATTGTAAGAGGAAAGGGGAAACACACCATAGAGTTCATTACACATCTTACATTTCAAACAAGATATCACAAGGCCGACCAACCAATCACACACACACAAAGGTTTGCTAAAATTCAAAGAAAGAAACTTACTGATGAATGTATGAAAGTGAAGTAGAGATAATAAGCAACAGCAGTAGTGGCAGCGGCAGCAGCAAGAGCAGCAGTATCGGCAGCAGAGAACACGACACACACACGAGCGCGTACGCTCAAGCATCGACGATTTAAAAATATGTATATATATATGTACGCATAATAAAAGATATCACACAATGTTTCGGATACATACATAAAATGAATGCACAATTGTATTTATATATAATATATTGACAATAAATCACCAGTGAATAAACAGTTGATTAGGATAGGAAATAGTACATATTTTAGAAAGGACCAAAAAATACTTATAATAATAATAAAATAAAAAGATTGTACAGTTTAATAAAATAAAAAATAAACAGTGTAGTGCGAAAGGGGCGGGGCGCCGGGGGGTGAAACACAAAATGAATATGTGTAAAGCAGTAAGCAATGGACAAGAATATCGCCGCATATGAGAACAGCCAGCAGTTGGAGAAGAAGTAGACGAAGAAGCAGTGGCGCAGGCGACGGTGGTATTGAAATCGACCTAGGCGATGACAGTAATGCCACTTATAGTAATAGTAGTAGTATGACGATGATAATGTTGGGAAAACAACGAGCTTGGGAATACTCGTAGAGTACGACTGACAGTAGATAACAACAGCGACACAAAGTACGCTGACTTGACTCAACAACAACCCCCCCACACACACACACGAAGTGATGGCTAACGGAAAGATGAGAACTAGCAGGAGCAGGAGCAGGAGAAGACGAAAAAAGGAAATGTTCCTTTGTTTCATTATTCATAAAAAGACAACTACAACAATAAGGCGGAGTAGGAGGAGAAGGAACAACGACAACAATAAATGAATCGATTTTCATAAAGACAATATATAAAAGATAGAGAAACAACACCTAAGCCGTTGTCATCGTCAACGTCGTCGTTAGCAGTAGCAGTAGCAGCACCAGCACCAGAGCAATGATCGATCATGGTGCAGATGAGATGATAACCGGGAAATTGAATTTTTGAAAAATAAAGCAATGATAAAATTATGATAATAAATAAAATTGAAAAGAGAAAAGAACACAGTTTTGAAAAATGTTTTGTTTTGTTTCGTTCAATGCACTCGGGGCTTCTGTATTCGAAACACAACACACTATCAACACCACCTCTATTCACAGGAGTAGAAAAAGAGAATGTGACGACGACGGCGAGGGACAGGGACGGGGAGGGGTGGGGCGGGGATCAAGGAGGATAGGAAAGATGAATAAAGCAACCTAAAAGAAGAGAGAAAGATTAGTCATAATGATCACATACAAGCACACGCACACACGAAGAGAATGAAAGATGGTCAGGTGTACATGATCCCCGTGAAACAATGACACGTAGATGTTGTCAAATGATAATTTATTATTATAAATAATAATAATAATTGTAATAGTAATAATAATAATACTATACTTTCTTATCTAATCATCATATTTATCATGATCGAGAAGAATGTATCAAAACAGATAAGACGATGAGATCAATCCCACACGAACACACAAACACACACGCACACGCAAACACAGCCAAACATGCATTGTGAATATGTTGTCTTGTTGTCATATGTGATAAAGAGTAGTTAGTTAACTAGTTAGTCAGTTAGTTAGTTAGTTAGGAATTTGGTCAACTTTTGAACCATCCACCGGGGTACCAACAATAATAATAATAGTAGCAATAGTAGTAGTCTCAATTTATTAATCGATCAATTGGGCTTCTGTCTCTTTATCTGTCACATAATTAGCTAATCTTGGATCCGTCAACAGACGATAGTCATTCGGTGACATAGATATGCCAATTTTATCGCCAACATGATGTAGGCATGAAGAATAGATAGTTGTCGGTGTAAGCGTTGAATTTGTTATTGTTGCCAGAGTTGTTCCTGCTGTTGTCGGCGTCGTCATTGTTGTAATGGAATCAGCATCAGCATGAGCATCACCACCATGTAGACTTTGAATGAAATGCGAATGTAAGCTTTGTTGTTGTGACCTGCTACCACAACGATTATTGTATGCATAACTATTATTGTTGTTGTTGGATAGTGGGTCTGTAGATATTAGATTACGCATAAGATGATCACTTCTCTGATTGTTAGTGATGTTGGTGTTAATAGGAATAGAATTAGCAGCATTGGAAACGTATATAGAACTACGCTGCTGCTGCTGGGTATCATTGTTGTGTTCTGTAGGAATTCTTCTACTTAAACTATTCTCTGATACCTCTTCACGTACATTAGAAAGTGTCGAGAGGATTTCTGCAGTCATGGTACAGCTATCCCGTCGAGCAGCTGTTGAAAATCACAAGAAAAGGAGAGTGAGAGAGTGAATATACATATACATGAGAGAAAGTCGAAACAGTCGAAATCCTCATTTTAAAAAAAAGACAATAATAACTGTTATAATATTTGGGATTGCATAAAAAGTCTTTTTTAACCACAGGCAGCCTTTTTCAATCTTTGTCTAGTGTTATCAAGCTGCTATGATGCCCCACCATATAGGGTCGGTGGGTAGGTAGCTTGTGATGTACACGTCTTTCTTTAGAAGCGAGTTGGACAGAGGGTCTTGGTGTTCTGACTACTTTATATCTCCTGATGAACTTGTCTGGATATCGGAGGATTTAGTCGAAAATGAACCACTGCATAGAAGGTATGTAGATGATATTGTAATCATAAGCGATAAGTAATGTTCTGCCACCTCAATTTTAAACTGAATGAATGAAGTTCAGAATAGCATATCACTTACATCTGTTGAAGAGGAAGATAATTGTTTATCTTTCCTAGAAATATCGCTTAGTCGACAGCTTGATGGGTCAATAAGATGATCTATTTATAGAAAACCTACCTGGACAGGACAGTATTTAATTATCACAGTTTCTGTCCTGTTCGCTACTAAACAGACTTAGTAAGGTGCCTCTTCAGCAGAATCCAACGAATATGCACTGAAGACACACTTGATGAAGAAGAAAGAAAGTTGACACAGAATCTGGGTGATAACAATTATCCAGACAAGTTTATCAGGAGATATAAAGCAGTCAGAACACCAAGTAAGACCCACTGTACAACTCGCCCCTAAAGAAAAACGTATACATCAAGCTACCTACCCTATATGGGGCATCATAGCAGCTTGATAACTAGATAAAGAATAACTGTGAATAAGTCAAGGAATTCGAAACCATTATTACAGAATTATCAAATGTTGGTTTGTAAAGATTCGACTGGTTAAAGGTATGATCAAGAGTCGACACTAGTTTGGAGAACACCGATGGAAAACTACCAAGGAGTATTGAACAGCTGTTTCGTCCTAGTCTGTGACTTTTCAGAAATACGCATCCACTGAAGTTGAAAACCAGAACCTTCCGGTAACATCATTCAGAGAAAATGGGACCGCGCATCCTATAGCCCATGAATAGCAACTTCCGCCGATATGCGACATATATAGCGCAACCGGCAGTCAATGTCACAGGTGGGTAACTGCTCTCTCACCTGACTTGGTGGGCGCCACACCTCCGTGGGGGTCTAATAGTTAAGAGTTTCAAACTAGAGCGAAACAGCTGTTCGCTACCCTCTGGCTTTCCAATCACTTCTCTAACTGATGTCACCTCGTGATCACACCTATTGGAGAAACACCTCACAAAAACTGGATATCCAGTAAACTTTCTTGATAAAAACAAATATGAATTTATCGCCACAACAAGTCAATATGCCAACAGCTACACAGAAGCCCTTGTAATTAGAACTGAAGTTCCTTGATATCAACACCAGTGATAAAATAAATTAGTGCAGTAAAATGAGCATTCAGTGAAGCGGAAGTTCACTGTCTCTCCACAGTTACTCCGATTTTATGTTCGAGAAATAAAGATATACTACCTAATTCGTTGGAGGATTTCATCATGAGCTGACATTAGTTACAGAACCATTCAAAAACCAGATGGGAGTACTGGACAGCCGATTGTTTCGTCATCAGTGCGCACCCACCCACCAGGGTTCGACCCCAGGACCTTCTTGTTACAAGGCTAGCGAGCTCGTAGACCGTTAAGCCACTGGGACCCGATCCAGTGGCCAGCCCATGGATTCTAACCTTTGCCAATTCATGACTTAGCGAGACCACTTCGCAATATCTTCTTCGATGAGTTACTGTCTCGCCTTCACCCTGCTGTAGCCTACTGCTCACGGCTTCCCACTAGAACCTCGGGTCACTGCCTGAATAGGCCCAGTTCGCTAGCGAGCATCATATTAATTTTCAGGTATTGGTTTTGTAGGGAATTTTGTTTGATTGGATCGGGTCCCAGTGGCTTGATGACCTACGAGCTCGCTAGCCTTGTAACCAGAAGGTCCTGGTTTTGAACCTTGATGGGTGGGTTCAAAACCCCTGAAGAGTCCCAAGAGACTACGATGAAACAGCTGTCCGGTACTCCCAGCTTGTTTTCCAATGGTTCTCTAACAGATGTCAGATCATGATGAAATCCTCCAACCAATCAAACAAAATCCCCTACAAAACCAATACTTGAAAATACACTACCTAACTTCACCTCCTCTAAGTTAATCTACTGGCTTGACTGATCTGATCATCTGCCCCTCCCCCTAGGCATCACCTTCCCCGACGAGCAATATTAGCTGACACAGAATCAGGTTGGTAAAAAGCTAGTGGTGGTCACACCAAAACATAGCTTCATCAGTCAATGAAATCCACAACAGTTAGTTTAAGCCAGCTCACCACCTAAGGATGTGTACACTTTCTGACTGCCTGGTCGGAAACCTCTGGATGCTAAAAGTCAATGAAGGCTGGAGACAATTGGTGATATGGCTCAAAATAGTTCTCAGGGATGACTGTCGCATATGCATTCACTCCTTGTGATTTATGATATTTATTAAAACGCTATTGGTTTTCCATATTACTATTTTTTTTCTTCGGACTTCTGTTTATTATTTCTCTCTTCTCCCGCTTTGTGTGCTACATGGAGGGAGTGTGGCAACTGGAAGTGCTGTACATCTGTGCAAAGTTCTAAGTTGAAACCAGTCCGTCAATCATAGTAATATATTACGGATGCATCTGGCTAGCCGGAGAAAAAAACTGACAGACGGAACCACCTACTACCAATGAAGATCAGAGTTAAGTAACACGATAAACAATGCACATGGAGGCGCACATACACACACATGTGGAAGGAAATACTCACTCTCAGCATTGAACCATACTTCGTCAAACCGTTCCATTTTTGACATTCAGAGTACTTGGCGAATATCAGATCGCATCAGAAAAAAAGGGCGATGGACACCACAATGCTTTTTAGTTCACAGATAGACATAGATAGTCGGACTTTTTTAACATTCTTTATTACTGTTATTACTTATTTGTTGGTTGGCAGCAGTCGATTTTTTTTCCTTCACGTTCCCCAGTGGAACATGGGGCTACAAGCTAGTGGCTTGAAGTTTCTGCAGCAGTGTTTATTTTACAGGATGGGGTTGCTAGCCTCATGCCCAATCTTTCCTCTTCACCAACATTATTTCTGACTTGGCGAGGTAAAGGAGTGCGTCGGTCGCCGGGGATCGAACCCCGGACCATGTGCATGGTCGGCGAGCGTCCCAACCGCTATGCCACCGACGCAGCAGTGGAAGTATAGCGTAAATGACACCTCGACCAGCTTGGGACTTGATTAGCTGAGTACATATATTTGCATTCCAATGGGTGGCAGTGTTCTCACTGAAGCCGAAATCTAAGCGTTAACAACTAGGATGATGATTCCCCTCCATGGGCAACCTCTTATGTCAGAGGGTGTGCATTCTTCCGTTTACCTCTCAATACGCGCTCTCGTGTGGTCAAGCGTCTATAGCCTCCGCCAGTCAAGTAAGTCCTATTCATCGCTTTCACGTGGCCTCGGGAGCGTTCCGCATAAAGACGCGCAGGTTTGCCTATGGTGTGTAAACATACATTGGCTCGAGAATGCGGACGGATGGAATGACGTGTATGAACCTGTTTTTGGTCCCTGTCAACCCATAAGGACGCAGCTGCTGACACTAACACTGCTCCACTACTGTGTAGATCAAACTTCAAGCCAACGGCTGAAGAAGGGTGTGACACTCTCAAACAACCAGTTGTAGCTTCAATCTAAGCCTCCGGAGCAGTTTCTATCAATCATCGCACAAACTATGAGATTTTATGCTATGCATCACTTGGTACCCATTAAGTACCAAAATTTGTGTTTCAATAAATAAATAAATTAGCCAAGAGAGTCGTATACGTGTATACACGTATATCGACAGACCGACATACCTAATACAGACAAGCTAATAACGAGAAATTACATGTATATGAATATATATATATATATATATATATATATATCACATTAATACACCATTCATATGGAATTTTTTGAATACTTTTGAATCTGCCATCAGGAATATATTCGCTGTCAGTTTATCACTCCACTAATTGATAATTAGATAATCAGACACACGTATATGTACATGCCTACCTACCTATGCGCGCACACACACACATACACATACCATTTTATTGTAAATATGTCTAAATAACTGTGTACTAACTATACCACCAATCTGTCACATCTCGTTACCATAAATAATTGTGCATATTTTTTTTAATTTAAAAAAACACCACACACAATTATTCTCGCATCACATTTCTCGCATTTTATACTACTGAATTGATCGCATTACTAGCTAGCTGCAAACACGTTTAGCATAACCTTGAAGCCGACTACCACACCGCACCACCACACACACAAACACACACTATCATTGGTAAGATAATAAAATAGCTTATCTAAGTTTCAGCATAGAACTTTACACGGAAGGGCGCCACTGCACAAGTTGCCACATTCCATATACCACACAAATATGTGTGGAAAAAATAGAGAAAGAAGAGATTCAAGTATCAAGTCTCAGAAGATTCAGTCTCCAGTCACTGGGGTCTAAGCACACCCCGAAGTCCCCAACCAGACTAGCAGTCTACATTTCTTGGATTGGCGCCAGGTTTCAATTTGATAATACACCTACCTCCTTTCCAGCTTAATCCTTTATCAACCAGCATTGCTCGACAAGGAAGTTGATGGTGGCTTGGCATGCATAATGCGTGACTTAGCCACCTCGACTAATATAGCTTCTAGTATTGGTTTGTAGGGATTCGATTGATTGGTTAGAGGATTTCATCATGAGTTGACACCGGTTAGAGAACCATTGGAAAACTTGAGAGTACTAGACAGCTGCTTCGTCCTAGATAGTTACCTGGGGTTCTAGTGGGAAGCCATGACCAGTGGGGTACAGCCAGTTGGGCGTGAGGATGAATACTTGCCGAAGACATTGGCCAGTCGTCACGCTATGTCGTGAATTGGGAAAAGTTGGAGTTCATGGGCTGGCCATTGGATCGGGCGTCAGTGGCTTAATGGTCTACGAGCTCGCTAGCTTTGTAAGCAGTAGGTCCTATGTTGGAACCCTGGTGGGTGGATGAGTACTGTTGAAGAGACCCAAGAGACTAGGACGACACACATGTCCAGCACTCCCACCTGGTTTTCCAATGGCTCTCTAACCGATGTTAGCTCATGATGAAATGCTGTAACTGATATAGCTTCAGCTGCACAGCCTCATTGACGAACTACTAGCACTCCTCCTCTTTACCTAACATTCTACGCCTAATCATGTTATACCACCTAACACAGAAGGCACAACACACGCACACGTCAATGGTCAAAGACAACTAGCCATTTCTCACAGTCATGAAGCAGGACAGGGTGAAATGCTGCGCAACAAGCACACTTTTCGATCGATAGCATAGGTTAGTTAACAAATGCTACACGAAAGAATCGTATTCCAAACATTTAAAGATTGCTGCTTAAAGTGTTCAGAAGACTCCGGGATTTTATCAGACTCTCTTTCCTTCCCCTCCCCTGCAAGGAGGACCATATCATCTGCGAAGTCTAAGTTAACAAGACCACACATCCTGGTAATAAGTTAATCCCTAATTTGCCTAAATTAGTTAGAGCGGATATCCTTCTTGATGGACACCAATGTTTGTCATCACTTCGGATAACGACTCTTTCTCCCTCTCTCTATAATAACCACTTCCACGGCTGTGAGGGTTCAAGTCATAAACATGAAAGTAAATAAATCAACTTACCAAAACTATTATTTGATTCATCTGCTTTACATATCAAACTAGGCAATTGTAAGTATTCATCCAAATCATTAGTGCTACGAAGAAATAAATCGTCTGTTACAACACTGTCTCGAATGACTGCACTACTGCCGCCACCAGCACCATTCATAGACGTTATTTCTCCTCGTCCATTATTTATTGTTAACGATGTTGTCGGTGTTGTTGTAACTGCGCTGGCCATTCTAGGTACGCTTCTTCCACTAGTCATCATCATCATATTACTACTATTACTATTAATTGTATTATTTCTACATAGAATATCAGCAGACGCAGAAGCAGCTTGTTGTGAAGATGACGATAATGACGACGAATAATTGTGCAGATTACTAAAGGAATGATGATTCTCTTGACTAAGACAATTACGTGAAGGATCAGTTAATTCTTCAACAGCATACTTTGAATCCGATGGGATAGCACTGCTAGACAAGCATTGATATGTTGGTCGAATTAATGAAGACGACTGATCTAGATTATTATTATTATGTGGATTATAAACAACACCGGAACGCATTTTCCAACTTTTATGTTTTAATGATGCATCTGTAGGATCCTGAAATTTAAAAAAAACGGAGATAAAAGAAAAAGAAAAGGTGTTACTACTTTTAACAACCGGAAGTAAGTAGTAATGATTAATATCAGCACCAACGGATTGATTGGTGACAAAATCTCAGCACGGATCCAAAAAGCTCGAGGTGCTTTCGCTAAATTACACCATCTCTGGCGTAGGCGTGACATCCGACTACCAACCAAGGGACGCGTGTACTGCTCAGCAGTTCTCTCCGTCCTTCTCTATGGCTCTGAAACATGGCCAATACGAGTTGAAGACATGAAAAGGTTGACTGTTTCTGATCATAGATGTCTACGATCTCTTTCTCACGTTAGGTGGTATAATAAAGTAAGTAATGCTGACGTTAGGCGTAGAGTGTTGGTTGGGCAAAGAGGGAAAATCAATCGAAGTGGCTATGAAGCTGCATAGATTGAGATGGCTAGGTCACGTGCTGCGCATGACTAACCATCGCCTCTCCTGACAAGCATTACTATCTGATATAGGTGTTGTGGGTTAGAAAAGAGTAAGTGGTGGTCAAACAAAAACATGGCATCAATCAATCCATGAAATCCTTGACAGTTAAACTGAGTCAGATAGGGAGATGCAGACTTCCGCGTTGGGGTCCTCGGGACTCTAAGAATCAATGGCTGGAGACACTAGGTGACATGGTTCAAAATCATTGTCAATGGCGCAGATGTATTCAGTCTCTGTAATCTTTCATATTCCTTTCTACCATTACTCATTCTGTTTCACTCTTACACTTGTCAAAACTCTATTGATTCTCTTCATAGCTCATTTTCTTGTCTACCTTTGTGTGCTATTTGGAAGGTGGCAACTCGAACTGCTGCACTTCGGTGCCAAGTCCTATGTTGAATCCAGCCAGCCAGCCATTGTTCTCCATTAATCTTTCCTGGGCTCCTAAAAAAGACCATATCATATTACGAAGGGTATCAAATGCTGTGAGTAGGGCTTGTGGTTTGCCACTGCGTGAGCTCGCCAATACTACAGTCAAGAGACACATAAATTCCTGTACAAAATAGGCAAAAGGCCGTACTGTCAGACCCGCTACATCCACCCCCTTTATTCACAACTATCCCCTTGTATCTCATCAGGTAGGACGAGAAGTCAATATAAAAAGTTATATGCTCGCACCACCACTAAGTACAAAAATTCTACAACACCGTATTTAGCCCGTATTTTATGTGATGAAGACTCTGTTAGACGTGAAACATATAAGAAGTTACTATGTAATTAGCAAAGTGAATCGACCCTTTCATTGTTCATCTTTCTGTAATTTTATGGTGTCAGCCTTTCTATCATTTAATTATAACTTTGCTATTTTATTTTAGTTATTACTATTATTACTACAATTTTATATACTTTATGCATATTTTTCTCCTTATCGCATACTGTAATTGCTACATAGCTGCTAAAACAACGTTTTGTTATCATTATTATTATGTAATGTTTATTTTTTTTGGCGTTTTGAGTAAATTAGATGCAATATTGTACTGAATGCTGAAAATTCCTTGCTGTATCATTAGTACCGTTTCTGGAATAAAGGAAATTATTATTATTATTATTATTATTAAGTAGTATTGATTAATTCACTTGCCAATGAGAACCACGTTCAATTGTAGGAAGGGATATAGGATGATATTACACCATCATCTCACTGCTCGAGTCTCGATAGGTAGGGCAAGATGCTGGTACTCAGAGAACTACTATCAATTATTTACCATTCATTGTCAGAAAACAGAACATAGCCATATAAATGTTCTTCCAGAGATGAACATTTGTTCAGATTTTAGCCGATTTCATTATTACTTATATAAGTATAAAACTTGGGCACTGTAGTGGTAGAGCATAACTCCATTATAGATAAGATTTTATTTTGATAAATCACACAGTGTTGTTATACAGTAATATTAACTGATGACGTAGGATTCTCAATAAAGCAGGAATTAGAGTGGCACATAAACCTTCAAACTCACTCAGGTAGGACAAGCTCTGTAGCTTTAAAGGACCCTGCAGGTTGACCCAGTTAGACAAAATAATATTTAATTTACAAAATACCTTGCAATCACTCTGAGTGAGGTCAACCACGTAGGTCAAACTAGTAGATCAGGAGTAGTAAGATTATCAGAATATAAGAATTTAGTGGCTTAGGTTAGAATGATTGATCCTACGAAGATAAGCAATAGGTACTGGAGTTCGACTCTCAGCCCCCAACTCCCACCCCCCGAAATAGGACGAAAGACGCATTCCTTGGATTCTGCTGGCAATCACCATACATACAACCAAATTACTTCAAGAAGGTTGAAAAGCAAATAAACATAAACCGCATGAAAATCTCCACTTACCATATTCTTCTGTTCCAAACCACCACCACCACCGCCTGCAAGGTTATCCAAACGGGGTCTAAAATCAAAGAATAAAATGATCATTCACTTATGATGGAAGACATTATCGATAACACAAGAAATTTGAGCAAAAAAAAGTCTAGTGAATGCATAAAGCGATTGAACACGCAACCTCAGTAAGTAGTTACGCATACACAGTATGAAAGGAAAGTTTGTTACCTGAAATCAAGATGATTTATACCGCACATTCTCATTAAATATCTTGCAGTATGTATCCTCACTTTCATAATGAAAAATCTAGACAAATTAAATATGCGCTAACAAAGAAGTTCATACCATTCAATGTCCGTAATGGTGGTGATGAGCAGTAGTTAAACCTGAAAAAGATAACCCCATTTTAGATAAGATTTTTATTTTGATAAAATCACACAGTGTGTTATACAGTGAGTAGTATTTACTGATGACCACCTTTCGAGCACAATGCATTACCGCTCATAATCGTATCAAGGCACTACTCACACAACTTTCTTGCTTCATTTATATACATGAGCAAAGGTGATGATCAGATATTTGAATAAAATCAATATAAGATAAATTAAGTTCAGAAACAATATTAGTGTTATCAATAAAATACAATAAGATGGGAAATAAGATGTTTTTATAGTGAAATTAACAAATAACATGTTAGAATGTCACAATGTGAATTGAATACATTATTATGATTATTTATTACTATTATTATTTATTATCCTCCTCTGATTTGACTGACTGGTGGTAATAATATCTTCCATATCTCTGGTATTTGCGTTGAGTCGTTTCTGTTGCATTTGTTGGGTGTAGACTCAATGAACAAGGATTCAACCGCTCTCTCCACATCCCTAGATTGCTTTTTAGAATTTTGACTCTGCGCCACCAACTCTAAATTACTTATCTTCGAGGGGCCTATCATTCTAACCTTAGCTAAATGCTTGTGTTCTGATAATTTGACTACTGCTGATCTACTAATTTAACTATCCTATAATATTCAATAGGAATATCAAAAAAGGTCAAAAGCAAAATAAAAATAATGGTGAAACTGATAATAATGATAACATAAATAAGAAAGAATATAAGGCATCTACAGTGGTTTAACCGGATCCCACGTGGTAGGATTCTCAATAAAGCAGGAATTAGGGTGGCATTCAAACCTACAAACTCACTCAGGTAGGACAAGCTCTGTAGGTTGAAGGATGCCGTGGAAAAAGAAAAGAATCTTTTCCACTTTACCCACTTGTCATTTTAAACACAAAATTATTCATTTTTATATTTATACTATTGAATTCTGTCTAATCAAATTTCACACCATATTATGTAACATTTTATATTCGCCTACTAATTCTATAATTATGCACCCCTTTCCAAAATCTATACACCTTATGTATTATTCTATATACGACATTAATTATTTTGCCACTTGACATTAAACTATGATTATAATCACAAATATTTTAATTGCATTTCATACTATTATTATTATTATTTCATGTATTCACACCTTTGACCTAATTCCCTCACCGGTTATAATTTCTTAAAAACCATATATATATATATATATATATATATATATATATACGATTGTACAGCTTGATAATAAATTCGTTGAAAAGAGACCCTTCGCTGAATATTGTGTTCTCAAAATAATACGATTCACAAAATACCTTTCAGTAACTGTGATTTAGGTCAACTACATGGGTCAAACTAGTAGATCGTGGGTAGTCAGATTATCGGAACCTGAAAATTTTAGCTAAGGTTAGAATGATTGGCCCTGCGATCACAAATGAGTAATTTAGAAAAAAGCTCAGCAGTTGCACCGCATGCATTAACACACAATCACACAATAAGGTGGGAGAGGGTTAAAATTCTATTAAGTAATATAGGTAGGTTGAGAGATAGAGGGGTGGATTACTGAATCCTTGTTCATCGAGTCTACACCCAACACATGCAATAGGAATAACTCATCACTCATACCGTAAATATGGAAAATACTACTTCCAATCAAGTCAGGCGATGAAAAATAATGATGGAATTATATAAACGAAGCTGAAAAGTTGTGTGAGTAGTGTCATGATATGATTATGAGCAGTAGCAATAAATTGTGCTAGAAACGTGGTCATCAGTAAATATTACTTACTGCATAACACTGTGATTTTATTAAAATAAAATTTTATCCATAATGGAGTTATATATACTCTAACAGTGCCCAAGTTTTTTCCTCATATGAAAACGTCAACCATATGTAATAATGTGCACTTGTCTAGACTGCTAATCAAACACATAGGCTTTAAAACACTCAAAAACTGTAAGCAAAATTAGGCAGTTCATAAGACGCTGTAGACAAGAAATTATTATTCAGAACAATTAAACACTGCAGAATGTCTCACTGACCCTCGAAGATGACTACCAACCAACAGAGCTCAAAAAAAACTATGAAAAATCATCAACTATAGCTTCTTCACACATCAAAATCAAATAAAGCCACACTACTGGCCGGTTGGCATAACCTTTCATATAACTATGTAAAGTCCAGCCCTCGCTTCCTAGTCAGACATTGCTACAACCCTGCAACGGATACAGTCGTGAAATATATATCAAGTATCAGTCAATTTCCCATTGGGATAAATGCCAAAATGCTCAGGGAATTTCTAGAAGCCAAGCCGGTACTCAGATGAGTCAAACATATATTACTACTATATATATATATATATATATACATATATATATATATATATATATATATATATATATATGATAATAACTTTTATTCCAAAAGACAACTTACGAGCATATTTTCATCTGTGAGGCAGCTGCTTCGAATCCATTTGAATGGGGATCAGTAGAGCAAGTATATGGTCTTTTAGCAGGTACAACATGAGGCTCATTTGTAAGCATTTCTGTGTGAACAAACCGATTACTATTAGTATTATTATTATCTAAGAGATGAGCATCACGTTGGCGTCGAAAAACACAACCACGTTTTGTATCTGTATCATCCAGCATAGGCGGCGCCAGTGGAGTATTCGCATTCTCTTCTTCAACACCTCTCAGTTTACACGCTGGTCTAAAATAATGATGATCACTGGATAGAACAGGTCTAGGGCTAAACATATGTGATTTTTCTGCTTTCCCACCATATGTATACTGATCTGTTGGATTCAACTGAATACCTGATAGTGTATTGTGGATAGAGGAATCTGAAGCTGTCCTGTTGTGATAAGTGTGAATAAATAAACATAGAATTCATAATAACAGAAAATATACATGATGTCACAAAGTAAATGAAACATTAATTATTAAATGTTGAGGATCGCCTCTCCACACACACACCCCACCAAATGGCTGAATGGTCTACGAGCTTGCCTTGTAACCGGAAGGTCCTGAGTCTGAACCTCAGTGGGTGACTACTGTCAATGAGTCTCAAACTAGGACGAAACAGCTCTCCAGAAATCCCTGATAGTTTTCAGTGGTTCTCTAACTGATGTTCGGTTGTAAACCCGAACTCTTGTGCGTCGGCGGTGCATAGCTACAGTGTACTCGCCAACCAAGTATGTGCCGCCTTCCTCGACGGGCAATGTTAGCTGATATAGGGTCAGGCTGGAAAAGAGCTAGCGGCGGTCAAACCAAAACATGGCACCAGTCAATGAAATCTACAACAGTTACTCTAAGCCACGTAGGAAAGTGTAGACTTCCTGGTTGGGGTCCTCGGGACGGTAAAAACCAATGGTTGGAAACGATTGGCGACATGGCTCAAACTCATCGTTCTCAGTGGCGTAGATGCATCCACTCCTTGTGACTTATGATTTCCAATTAAACTGTTTTGTTCTCCGTTATTACTATTCCCTTATCTCACACCTCTGTTTACTGTCTATATTATGCATTTCTTCTACTTCCTTCTCTTGCTTTGTGTGCTACAAGGAGGGAGTGTGACGACTTGAACTGGCGCACATATGTGCAAAGTTCTATGTCGAAAACCGACCGACCGACCGACCGAAGTATGTGGTTTGGGGTTCGAACTCCCTACCGACGCACCCCCAAACCTCGCCTAGCAGCTGTTGATAAACCCAGTGAAGACAGGAGGTAGGACGTAAGGTTTTCAACCCTACCCCGTAGGAAATAAACACCACAACAAGTATGGAAGATCTGAAGTCACAAATGTAAACAAATCACAGTGGAGAAAAAGTCCATCTAAATTCAACTTGATTATAAAGGTGAAAACATTGCAGCAATGGTCAACACAAGACTGAGTACGTTACTAGCCAGAGCCTATCCTGAAGCTAACCTCGTCCCCATCTATCGAACAACTTGCTCTCTGGTGCAATCAAAAATCGATAGATATCCTTCTCATGTTAACTCCAATTGCATATACAAATTTACATGTAACTGCGGGAGCAAAGCTTATGTCTAAAGGGAACAAATGCTTTAAACAGTGCCACCGCCAGGCATCTCCTTGACACGGGTCATGAGGTGGACGTCGAAAAGTCGTTCAAAATTATCAATGAGCAAAACAGCTCAACTCTCCCCAAGTTTACTGAAGCCATTTCCATTAAGTGCCTGAAACCTGATTTATGCGTTCAGAAAGAAACAGTTATCAGTCTTTCTTTGCCCTGGTAACTGGATATTTTCATCTCTCTTTCATCTGAATGCGTAATGCTGAAAAGTTTTCATTGTGTATGATTATTATTGTTCGGAATAGTGTTTAATATTGCATATATACATGTATATATTATTAGTGTATGCATATATTGATCGATTGATTTTTGTTTAAAATGAACTCTGTGCAAGTATGTTAAAATTGTTTCTGTAGATATATTTAATGTCTTTTCCCTGTAAGTAGCTGACGAGAAGGCGACGAAATAAAAGATGGTACCACTTTATTCTGCAAAAACTGCAGTTCTTGCTTTGTTCAAATTCATTAAGGGGAATAGAAGTAAAAAAATAAACACCACTGCTAATGAATCTTCCAAGCTCAGGTTGAAAGCTCTATGCTCCACTTGGAACGAGAAGGAATACAATAAAAATAATATTAAATGTTGAATCTCCATATGCTGGTACACCTTATTCACACACACACAAGGAAGGCAAATCTCATCAAAATTCTAGAAACATCAGACTACAGTTTAGCTCTGTCCTCCTTTATGGTTGTGAGTGAGACATGGCCACTGAAAGTGGAAGACATGAAACAGCTACCTGTCCTTAATCAGAGGTGTTTGCGTTCTGTCTCCAACCTTAAGTAGTACAATAAAGTGAATTCGATCGAGTGTTAGGTAAGGATGGTAAGTCAAACGATGAGGTTGTGATGCTAAAACGACTGAAAACATGAGATCAGTAGATAAAATCCTCTACAGTTAGTTTAAACTACGTAGGAAGGTGTAGACTACCAGGCTGGTTGAGATCTTCGGGACGATAAGAACCAATGGTTGGGGAAAATTGGTGATATCTTTCGAAATTATTGACAGTGGCGCAGGTTTATTCGCTCTTTATAACCTCTCATATCCATTAAAACGCTATTGCTATTCCATATTACCATTCTCCCTCATATATCTGATTATAATAGTTCTGTCGAATCTTTTGTTTACTCTCTGTTGTCTTCCCTTGAATGCTGTATGGGATGTGACAAGTTGAACTGGTGCACTCCTGTGCAAAGTTCCATGTTGAAACTCAGTTTATTAGTCAGTCAATGTTGATTGCATAATTAATAATAATAATAATAATAATAATAATAATAATAAATGCAGGGTTACCTTCTCCAGTCGACGACTGAATACGGTGTTGGTGTACGCCCGAGCTGTTCAGTGAAATTAACAGAGAATGGAACTTTTGAATGTTGTAAATTATTTGTTGGCGGGAAGCTACGAAAGCCAACAGGTGTACCAATACTATCACCAACACTAAAATAGCCTGATTCACAGGTATACTGACTTGATGAATTAGCCAACGATTGTTGTGTATTCAAACTGGTGGCAGCAACTTCAGCATCTGAATGTGATGCAGAGAATAGGTATGGATTTGCTGGAAGATGTGGTTTTTGATGTACACCACCTTGATAATGAGGCTTTATATCATTATTATTATTATTAATATTGTATGGGCTAAAATTCTTTGGAATTTGTTGATGACTGCCAACTACTCCTCCTCCTGAACACTCGTTACTCCAATTTCTGTGTAGAAAAAAAAAAGTATCAAAGTCGTTATTCTTCCGACGAATTGATTGCGTAATGAATCTACAAATTAGTAAATCAAACTGAAAACGCAGAAGTTAGACCTTGGACGCCCAAGAAGCGCGAACGCGCCAATTACCCTGAACGCTCGGGCACTGCGGTAGAATGTAATTTTATATTCGGTAAGTGTACTTGAATTAACATAGAGATGCAGTATTAATAACCGGATGACGCTGTGAATAAGAAAAAATATATCTACAACCATCAAGTGACATCATACGCCGGGCCATCGCTCGAGTGGAACCCGCCGAATCGGAAGCGGCGAGTTGGTCGGCCAAGGGTGACTTGGAGGAGTTCATGTGAAGAGGAGATGAAAGCATGTGGGCAGATGTGGAGCCTGGTGATGAAAAAGTTGGCAGAGAACCGAAAGCAATGGAGACGTGCTGCTGAAGCTCTATGTTCCTCTAGGAACTAAAGGAAACAATAATAATATCTACAACCGATCCAGTACTCCAAATGAAATCATCTTAGGGGGGAACCAAAATGGTTTGATCTAATGCGTAAACTGTAGGCTAACTAATTCCACAGTAGTGGAACAAAAGCTAGAGGATAGCAAAATGAATAGTTTGGATGTAAGCAGTTTGACTACTATTAATGTTCCGATTAATAGAGGTCTGAAGGCAGTTAGAAATGAACTCGGTATTGGTCTTGAACTCTAAGACAGGACGAAGCTTTCACTTGATGAAATAATATTAACGTGTTCACGCTTATGTGTGTGTCTAACCTCCAGTGTATTCAAATTTCAAAATAAAATTAACAGACAAATGAGGTGGCAATGGGATCACCGATATCCGTATTAGTAGCAGACATATTTATGAACAGTTGGTTGTGGATTCAAAGCCCCTGTGTTATTGCTGCAGAAAGAAGGAACATCCAAGGCCGTATATGTAAAATTGTCAATGAGGCAGGAATTAGGGCGGCATTGAAACCAGCCAACCAACCCCAATCAGGGATAGACTTTGCCACCTTAAGAACCCAATAGATCCAATTAAGAAACATTATATATATAATTTACCTATCACCGTGAGGTCAATTACATACGGTAAAACTAGTACATCAAGGTCAACTGGACTATTTAGGCGTAAAAATTTAGCTACGCCTAGAATAATTGACCCTGGTGAGTTAAATGAACTAGAAAAAAGCTCAACCACTGCATTGGATTGCATCTACTTGCGTATAATCATCACACAATATGGTAGAACAGAGTGAAAATACTGAAACGTGAAGAGAGAGGTTAATCAATGAATTTTTGTTTATCGACTCAACACTGCACACATGCAATCGAAGTGGGGCAACGGCTATACCGGAGATATGGAAAGTGGCAACAAAAAGCAAGGTGTGACTAAAATGATGTGATTATGAGCAAAACTTTGTGCTCAAAATGTCATCCAGTTACTAATATTGCATCACTGCATGTCAAATAAAATAAATTTATATGAAATAACACCATATTTATATTCAAGTAGTCTTGAATGAATCGTAATGATATTCCACAGGATATCTGGTTACTATTAAATTGGGTCAACAGAAGATCAAGGTTAAATTTAGGTCAATCCGGCTATCGATCGAAGCGTGTATGTACTGCTCAGCAGTCCGCTTCATCCTCCTTTATGGCTGTGATACCTAGCCATTAAAAGTGGGAGACATGAAAAGGCTAGGTGTCTTTGATCATAGGTGTCTGCGTTCTATCTCCCGTGTGAATCCTTAGGTACGTGTGTAGTGATGAATTGATAAACAAAGATTCAGCGAATAACCTATCTCTACCTAAATATCTTACTTTTTAATACTTTCGCTCTGTCCTACCATAATGTGTGATGATTATACGCAAGTAGATGCAATCCAATGCAGTGGTTCAGCTTTCTTCTGGGTTATTTAACTCACTAGGGTCAATCATTCTAGGTGTAGCTAAATTTTTGTCTCAATAATCCAGTTGACCCCGATGTACTAGTTTGACCATATGTGACTGACCTCACTAACAGTCATTACACGGTAATTGGTAAATTATATAATGTTTCTTAATTGGATCTATTGGGTCCTTAAGGTGACAAAGTCTATCTCTGATTGGGGTTGGTTCCAACCTCAATTAGAATACTACGTAAGGCTTCTGATGTTCCTTTTTTATAGGTACATAAGAGGAACATCAGAGGGAAAAGAGAGAAAAATATGTACATAAGACAAATTATGAGGCCGTTCGACTAGATTGATATATTTAGAAAACTTCATCCAGTTTTATTTTTTGATTGGACACTAGTCAGTAACCAGTGTAATATGTCTAATCCTATCTTCGGTGCAGACTGAATTCTATCAGTCAGGTTTGCACCCGTAATGGCGAGCTATCTAGAATGGTGGCCAGATTGCAAACCTGACTGACAGAATTCAGTCTGCACCAAAGAAAGCACTAGACACATTACACTAGTTACTGACTACTGTCCAATCAAAAATATCCAATACAGTCCTACAGGAGGTCAATTGCGAGTGATAACATCTCTGACTGCAGCACTGGGTGACGCGGTTTTGAATCTCAGAAGGGACATGAGTGTTCCTTTGAGGTAGCAGATACGCCTTGCTGACAAGTGAGAACCAACTAGCACGAAACCTAGGTGGTGTCCAAGGCTTCCTGTGACCGATTGCCTCCAGCAATCTAATACTAACGTCATCCAGTTATTAATGCTGCATCATTGTTTGTCAATTGAAATAAATTTTATCTAGTATTAGACTAAAAGCAGTTACCAGCATTGTGTAAGAATCTTTCCTACACTTTGCTGGGGGTCTGAGGGCGAAGTCGTACTGCTGGGGAACAGGGGTGTAACAGCAGTAAGGTGTTTCCCTCAGATGACCAGCATGCCAGCTATGCTGTCTCTCCACTCCGGAGAGAGGGGGTTAGAAAAGGTCAACCCCAAAAATTGTACATCCCGACTTACCCTACGGTGGTCCGTAACCGGCGGTAAGTTTACTAATACGGAACCAATCCAAGAAACCAGTTCATACAGGCCGTGTGTGACCGGCCTCAAGTAATTATCCCCTGGGCTCAGCGGTCAAGCAACACTAATTCTCTTTCTGTTTCATGTACCCGAAGAATCAATCAACTTCCACGGTGTAGGCAGTCAGGAAGTAACAACCGCCCACACACTTCCAGAAGCACACGAAGCCTTCCCGAGCATCATTCTACTTTACTCTTATCACCTTCCTCATCTTGCTTCTCTACTACATTCTACCACAGTGCCAAAGTTCTACACTTGCATTCGAGAAACTTTTCCCCGCTTCTATAACTAAGTGTGTTAACTACACTAAACATCTGTCATTAATTATTTTCATAACATTTATACAATAAAAATGATACTCACTCTATACAACTTTTCTGCGTAGAATGCTGATGATGAAACGGTCCAGTAGTAGACCATGAAGATGCATACGAACAATTAGTCGATGTATTATTATTATTATAATCAGAATCATGTCCACCATAAGTGTTACGTTTATACCCAAAAGATGAATCAGTTGATGAACCGATTGAATTATACGAAAATGGACAAATATTTGGAGTTTGTGATGTAGTCACTTCTTGTTCTTCTTCTTTTTTAATTGATATATGCTCTTTTGTTTGAACACCGGTCGGTACACGTTCATTGACTCTTTCATCACTTGTGTTGGATACTGTTGACCCTATAGGATAGATTCCTGAATGAGAACTGGATATTGTGGAACCACCGCACACACGTTTGCGATCCACCTAAATAAAGTAAAATGAAAGAATAAAATTAAATACAATCTCACACAGTAAGTTTTGCCGACAAATCAACACATTGAATCAAAATAGGATATTCAAGTGTTGGTTTGTAGGGATTTGGTTGATTGGTTACAGGATTTCATCATGAGCCGACATTGGAAAACCTGGGAGTACTGGGCAGCTGTTTCGTCCTAGTTCGGGACTCTTCATCAGTACGCACCTACCGGGGTTCGAACCCAAGACCTTCTGGTTACAAGGCGAGCTCTAAACAATGTCAGCTCGTGATGAAATCCTGTAACCAATCTATTAAATCCCTACAAACCAATACTTGAATATCAATGAGACGCTCACTAGCGACTTGCCCTATTCAGGTAGGTAGTTGCCTGGGGTTCTAGTGAGAATTCGTGACCAGTAGGATGCAGCAGGTTGGGTGTGAGGACAAATACTCGCCGAAGATATTGGCCAGTGGTCGCGCTGTGTCGTGAATTGGCAGAAGTTAGAATTCATGGGCCATTGGATCGGGTCCCGGTGGCTTTTGAATGGTCTACGAGCTTGCCTTGTAACCAGAAGGTCCTGGGTCCGAACCCCGGTGGGTGAGTACTGCCGAAGAGTCACAGGAGACTAGGACGAAACAGCTGTTCAGTACTCTCAGGTTTTCCAATGGTTCTCTAACCAATGTCAGCTAATGATGAAATCCGGTAAAAAAATAGGATACTACTGTAATAGTAGAAATACCTTTGAACAAAAAGGAAAGCACAGCTTAGCGGTTTCTTCAAAAACCTCACGTAATTGACATGAAAGAATACTCTCGTACTTGCTCATATTAAATATTGTCAACAGTTATACTACAGCCTATCGACATTATGAATTCGTTAGCCTTGACTTTAATGACCTGTCATAAGATCAAACCTTAAACTTTCTTAGAATATCGAAAAGTTAATAAGATAACAAAACTAAAAATTAGGATAATTCATGTATCTTCAAGAATTAGTTTGTAGGAATTCAACTTACTTCAAGTTTGACCAAGGATTGATATTGAATAAAGTTCTAGTGAAAATTTGTGATCAGTAGGGGCGCACCACAAGGTCGGGAGTGAGGAAAGATACTTACCAGTCGCCTTAAAATCACGAACTGGTAGAAGTTATCATTCATGAACTGGTCAGTGAATCGGGTGCGAGTGGCTGAACGGTTTGCGAGCTTGACTTGTAACCGGAAGGTTTTGGGTTCGAACCCTGATGGGTGTGTGCTGCCGATGAGAACTAAGAGGATAGGATGAAACAGTCGTCCAATACTCCCCAGTTTTTAATGGTTGCCTAATGGATATCAATCAATTCGTGGTCAGACATGAAATTCATGTATTTATTCCGTGACTAGTCTCCCGATTCAATAATCTGTGGTTACACGAAACTGATAAAACAGGTGTTCACACAGCGTTATTAATGCTGAAAAGTGTGAGGTATTTCAATAATCTGACTACACACTGATTTGTCAACTGAATTTATATGAGAAAAAAACGAAATATCACATAAAGTAAACAAGATTACAAGGAATCTAAGAGTAAGAAGGATAATAATTGACACCACTTTTCCTTAATTCAGCATAAAGAACAAGATTCGGATTTTCAACACCAATGGTAAGTCAAACAGTTCTTGTATGAGGCAGAAACTAGCACTTTGCATCACGAAAAACATTTCCAACAGCCTGCCGCAGACTTTTGTCAACAGCTGCCTTCGCTTCATATTGAAGACCAAATGGCCAGAAAGAACTAGCAACAAGAAACTCTGGAAGGCAAGGAACCGACCAAGAACCTATTGCTCAACAAACATATATAAGAGAGTAGAGATGGATTGGGCACACGCTGAGATCATCGAATGATAGAGCCCCCCAGGCCATCGAGTGGAACCCGGAAGGGAAACGACGATCAGGGCGTCCGAGGATGACATGGAGATCGTACGAGGGGATGACTATGGGCAATCATGGGACAAGCTGAAGAGGACCACAGAAAATAGGAAAAAGTGGAGATACGCTGTTGAAGCCCTATTTGCCGCTCGGAACCCGAGGGAATAATAATAATAACTCTTCGTAATATAACCAGATAAGAAATAATACAGAAGATTTGTATCTCGGGTAGATGATTTGCAATTAATAGTGTTCTGTGAGCTGGTTGGTTTAGCTGCACAGCTTTCGTCGTCCTTCTGGACAAAATTTAGCATAAATGATCAATACATATATAAAGATGGTTACCGGGAGAAGCAATTATATCACTCATGAAAAATTTAAATCATTTCACTTTATGCTAAATATTTCGCTGATGATGTCCAGAAGGATGGCGAAAGCTCCGCACGTACGTAAATTGATATAAAAGATGGGATTTATGTATTTACTTAATGAATAACTGTCCCAGTAAAAACTAATGCAATAAACTACCTTCCTCCGTGACTTGAGAACAAAATATCAGAAATAATTCCGTCAGTCGATTTATATGTACTGCACTGAGCTAGAAACTACACGTGTCGCAGCAGCTTACGATACTAACAGACTACCTAGGCTAAAGCAAGTGAAGCGAAGGCTACCAAGTTTCATAAACCATAATCCTTCATCTCAAATTTCTAGGCATTGCTTCGCGGTTATTGTTTGAGGATAATCCACACTACTTAGTTGCTTAAACTTTTATAGGTAGTGTTCGAACACACTATCCAGTGACATAAAAACCACTGTTTAAACTAATAAGCTGAAAAGCAAGAGGAAAGATGCCTCAAGATAGTTGCGAAGAGATTAGCACTAAGAACAGTATTTGCTACGTGAGGTTGTTGTCTTTCTAAACTAGCGTCACTGACTGACTGGATTTGCAAGTAACCATACTTCATAAAAACTCGTATAAAAGTAGAAAAAAGGAGTGTAGAGAAACTATAACGATCTGAAATGTATCAGAGAAGGAATAGTGACATGGAGAATAATGTAACTCCAATGACTCTGTGAGATTACTAAAAGTGAGTGTGTCTGTACCAAATGACACCGATTTCGAGCCCTACCACCAACAGTCTCTAGGCATTCATTCTTGGCGTCTCGACACACCCACCTGGAAAAAATTCTACACCTCCCCTGATCGGTAGTCAAAGCTTTTATGGATTGGTGCTATTCTTTGGCTTGACAGCCTTGTCCCAAATCAGTTAACATTGCTCATCGCGGAAGACAATGGCTCAATATTTGTAACCCATACTCACAAATACATTGTACAACTGATTTTCCCTCCCTACTTAACACTACGCTTAAATCCATTACTAATGACCATAATAGACCACCGGATGGGAAAGAACTGAGCATGGAGTGCTTAAAACGACTAGTTAACCGTGAGCTTATGAAACTGCACTACGCATGATGAGCCGACACCATTACCAAAGTGTAAAATTAAATAAACCCCTAAATACAAAGAAAACTACGATGGACCATACCGAGGGAAGGATCCTGCTTGTTAAGTTTAAGAATCAGCACACGATACATACGCCCGGAAAGTTACAAAGACAGAATTCTTAAGTCATTAGAAATCGGGAACCTCATGTTGCACAAAGCAAACTTTAGTTATGTCGACTGGTCATTTTTGTTTGATTGTATGTCTGGATTTTAGAGTGTCCTAGAGCTAATTTATAAAATAGTTTCTGGAATGTATAAATCTTAGAAACGGGTAGAGGATTATTATTATTATTGCAACTGAAACAGTATGCAACAAGGTGAGAATTTCGATACGACAACACTGCTGAGGAAAATTACGTTGAATTAAATAAATAAAGAACCGAAGGCGAAAATGTCCAGAGTGAAAATAATAGTAATCAAAATAATAAGGGATAGATACCAAATATTTTGTTGTAACCTACGGTATCATCTTCAAATCCAATTGTTGTATTCCGTGCAGATTTGTCCAAGTTTTTGTCTCATAAGGAACCAAACAAGTAGCCTGTTTACTAGATTGAGTCAATCGTACACAGGACTTTAATGTCTACTAGTTAGCCGCTGTGTTTTGGATTTTCAGCCCTACTCCAGCTTCTCTATTCAAAAAAGCTAGGCATAATTTTTAATTCTTTACACATACAATGTGGTTTATTCAAGTAGAGTAATTTTAACAGGGTCAGTATTACTAGTAGTAGCACTTACCGGAATAACTTTTGAGCGCAGTATATTATCTTGTATAGGGAGGTCAGAGTGCTTACTGGCCATTTGGCGGCCTGTATCAGTGATATCTGATAAAGAATGAGCTTTCATCAGCACTGAACGATCCATAGCATTTCCATGTAAATGACTGTGGTCAAGAGAGAGTGGCAGAGCGTCGTAAGCATACGCAATCTAAGTGAGATTTGTTACATAGTGACCAATGAGCAACAAAATACCTGACAAATTTCTTGAGCATCTCTCATAGCAGCAGCGAAATTCGCCGTTGAAGCAGCTTCTTTCATCTTAAGTAGTTCGATTTTCTCCTTGAAATTGCGCGGATTAGAGCACCCAATGTGCTTTGTCGTCATTTTTAAACTCAAGGTTTTGATTTATAGCATGTGCTTAGCAGTGTTATAAAAATCGCTCAGATGACATACACGATCTCTGTCGATGGAACAGTTTATTGAGATGAAATTAACGGGATAAATAAAGTCAACTGTAGCAAGCACACTTAAAAGTAACTAAATCCGATGCTAGATAGTATTTCCTTTCCTATACGTAAACTCTTCCCAGTCGAGCATAAATACTCTGTCGAAAGACTAATGTCACCACAATCCCGCCAACTTTGAAGGCCGCCCTGACCAACCTGAGGTTCCAATATCCAATCTCTTTCTGATGAACCTGTATAAACCTTATGATTTCTTGCAGCCTACTTCTTCTTTTTGAGAAAAGGTAGTTGGTAGGTGCCAGTAACTCTTTTCCCTTGACAGTCACATCTTTACTGAACGCAATGAGAATAGCTACATTAGTTTATTTTGGAGGGACTGTATGGGTAGTACCAGGGCAGCAATACTGCTGAGATGTACTAATTACTCTCCTTTCATAAAAACATAACTTTTTCTAAATCTATTTGCCACACTTGTTTCCAAGGTGTATAAATGGCACAGTGGTTAGGACTCTCGCCGACCATGCACATGTTCCGGGTTTCGATCCCCTGCCGACGCACAGCCGATATCTATGGTCGGCCTGAAATTTGGACTACCGATATCCATGCTGAAAATTCCATACCTGTACTGAAAATACGGTGTGGCATCAAGCTGTAATCAAACTAACTAACTAAAAATCTAGGTTGTTCTGTCTCCTCGAAAATTAGTATTACATAAACTTCCTAAGGCTATGTACGTTGTGTGGCGTGACTTCTTCTCTGGGACTGTTCATTTGGACCATGTCTTTCTTTGTTCCTGAGTGGATGCTTGGTGGCTCTTATCATCCTCTGAACTGTTTCCCGGGGGTTACAGTTACCATATGGACCAAACTGTTGACAAACTGACATTGATCCACTCCTGGTGCATGTCCACCACTGGTGAGCAGTACTCTTTAGGTGAATGTGCCGACTCCAAAGCTCCACTCATGCGCTTAAATTCGGCTTTAGCACAGCAGCATTTCGTACGAGAGTTACCCTTAGTTAACTGCCATTTGACTAATAAGACACACTTTGACTACGTTGCCGGTACTGCTTAACAGTGGCTTCAACTCTACTTAGTGGTCTCTAGTGAGAAGGCGATTTGCCTAGGACCGTTTGCTGACATCCAAAAGCGTGTTTAATATAATTCACTATTAGTGGTGGCTTTCGGCAGTCCCCAGTCGAAAACCCTGTTTGTATGGTCCTCCCTAGTACTGAGAAATGTCTCATTGAAGTCATTAGAGAAAATGATTTAATCAAATGTTATAACAGAAATTAAGATTGCTTCGAGTATTCTGTGCATGTGGTTCACCTCACGAGCTGGAAATGAATCAACTGTTCCATTTAGGAGCCTTGAGTTGGTCACAGTCTATCAACACCAGATATTTTGCAGATTGTATCATTTATGCTTCAATGACTAGACTTAATCAGGATTCGCAGGCACACTGTAATTTCACCGTTCTCCCCTTCCCAGTCCATTCAATAAAATACCACTCTGACCATGGTCATTTCACTCTCACTGACGTCAGATGACAGCTATGTCTCTGACAGAGTGACAACTGAAGGTACATAATATGACCATTTGGAACTAAGACTGATCACCTTACCTTGAACTTCTCTGGCATTGCTGTGAAGACATCTGATGGTCTCAGGTAGTTGCTTTATTAAATGATCATGGATGTCCTGTTCCCTATCAGATAGCGATTAATTGGCCATTACTACTGCCGCAGTCCTTAGTCCAGTATTCTGGGGATCTTGATTGACGTTAGAAGTTACTGGATTATGTACACTCATGGAAGTTTCCGTTTGTTACATAACGTTTCTCTAGTTCTGCCACACAGATCTAAGACTGCCTTTCATCATAGGATGTTGCTGTTTTTATTGTCTTTAACAGTGTACCTTGCTTAAAGATAGTTGCTCAACGTGTGTGGTAATTTTAAGTTTAGTGTCGCAAATTGTGGTTTGCTGAGTGGGGATAGGTGTGGTAGGCGATGTAACCTGCCGACACCAGTTGATGCAACTCCACTCAGTTCCAGATGTGTGAATAGCCACTGTGCACATATATTTCTCACCTATTTCACAAACTGCTAGTCCTTAGGCACCATGCATGAAAATAATTTCTAAGGTAACAATATTTGTTTTACATGTGGGGTCCTTTCAACACTGAATCCTGCAGTCACCCACAGGTAGTCAGTGATTAAGGTCAGTGACTAGATGGGAAGTAAGGCTCTCTCTGTACCTACGAAGCTATATTCAATGACGAATACCCTTCCATGAGTTTGACTAGGATTCATCATCTCACTTGTCCACCAGTGTGCTTTCCATATAAACGATGGAAAATTACAGCTTTCTTTTATGGTAATATGCGTTATCGGTGGATAATTTGGGCAATTATTTTGATAGAAGGGTTTGTCACCAAATTGGTTAGCCCTATTCGTTTACAGTACACTACCTATTTTATTACAGTTAGCTGTAATTCTTTTATGGTTGTCTTTTATCAGATCTTTGTATTTGCACGTACTTTTGGTCTAATTTTTATTCATCACGACGTCTTATTTAACATTTTAGGAGGATGGTTCTACAAAACATTTCTGATAAGGCAGATTTTTTAGTAACCACGAGATTAAGACTACTTAGATTTGATCGACATGATCCAGAACTAGGTTTGCTCAGCGTGACTACTTCGACAGATTCACCATTAAGTCTGTGAACACCAGGCGTAGGTACGTGTTTCTCAATTACCTTATTAACCCATCAGTGAGGTGTGGGACCTCATGCTTCACTCGCAACATGGCTTCCATGCATTGTACTTGGGTGCGAGGTGGCAAACCATCCCCCGAAAACCAGGGAACACGACGGTTGCTTCAAGAGGATAACGTATAGGACAGGTCACTATCACACCTCTTGAGTAGCTCACCAAAGCATAGTGGAGATGGTAATACCAAAACAAGGCTGAATTAGCATATTAACAGATAAACAATGGATCATCCTTTATTGGTAGTATGGCCTTTAAGGTTGGTCTAAAAACACCACTCTGAACTAGCCTTCATAAAATAACGCCCACTATTACAGACTAACTGACATATGCTTGGTGACTTTTTGAATCACACATTACAGCGTAAATCAAACCATGGTTTATGCTATAATATACTTTCCTGCTTGCGTCGTTATGTTTTCTCGTTTATTTAAACCGAGCTGAAGGAAAAGCAGCAACATCGAGGGCTCACCGTAGCACATGGTTCCCAGGGAAAATAAAGTCGACTAGCGAACTAGTGGTGAGAACAGAACTCCTCATGAGTAAACCATCACACAGACAGATATTCTATATCCCAAACTCAGGACAATATACATAGTCTGCGATGTGCCACGATATTTATTCAGATGGGATCAGACACAGCCAACCACAAAAATAAATCATTATACTGAAACCGCATTTTCAAGTGAAGAATCGTTTTCTGTCTGTTAGTCTGAATACCTTCACTAATTATATCTATTATTATTATCTCTTTTCTATTGACGACGATACCGAAGGACCAACTGGTGAAAGGATCAACTCCATTCACAGTAGTAACAGTCTTAACACACTTCATACCTGCACTACTCCTTTTGGAGTCAACCAAAGCCACGGCAGTCGAGTGACGGGACGAGCTACGCAGACGTTTACCGAAGATCAGGAACCTCTACCTCACAATCAAGAGGCGAGCACAAAGAAATCAAATTGGTTTATACTAGCTCGTAAAAACGATATTGGATATTGGATTGTTCAAACTGCCAACCGACGATTCATAATATTGTAGAAAACCGATGACGTCTTCCAAACCTTCATTTTTGAAAGCACGATAGAGGACAAGTGAAGCGAGGCGTACCTAGTCAGACGCACTTAGGGGCACTCACCATTCAATAGACAAAGAAAGCCTAACAGATCATAAAGAACACATGGTTCCCACTTTCCTGCTCATTTCATCCTTCTGAATTCCTCATTTACTTGCCACATCTAAGTGGCAATAGCATACAGCGCTGTAGAGGCCCAAATCAGCTTCCCCCAGAAACCACTTCCCTAAGAACATCGGTATGGTTTGCCTATGTCTTGGATTTTCCAACGAGTTCCTTTAGGGGCTATGACATCAGCTGACCAATCGTTACTTCGAATCTCACCGACGTGAAGATGCCGAATATACGTAGTACATCTACATGGAACAGGTTAAGGTTGTTAATCTAGCATTTTATGAAGAAATGTAACAATGCCATTCGTCAAATTAGTTTACTGCCAACCTTTTCTATCGAAATTGCTGTACCAAACTGCTATCAGATGCTTTCTAGTTTCAGCACCTTTTGCTGCTACCCAACAGTCAATATCTCCAGACCGATGTTTCTGCCGAGAGTATGTTCACCCAAAACCAGACAGCAGGGCTTTCTTGATCCTGTCTCGTCAGGACATGCCCATGACGTTCTGAGACTCTCTTATGTGAATTTGCTTTAAGGTCTCTCCGTAATTTGGACGACCAATTGTGGTGTTTTGTTTTGCCTTAGGTCTATGCGGAACAAGTACTACATTTTTGCGTGATTCGTTACATAAAATTAATCTTGTTGTAATCCTTGCACAAGTACCCTACCTCCTCCATACCTATAACCATCAACTCTCATTTCAAATAGTTATGGTTAATTAGAGTAAAAAGCAAAAAACTCAGTCCCCTGTAAATCTGATGACTATTTTACGTCCTTGATTGCTACATCAAGCAACACACTCGCTACAAATGGTTATAGTGAGCCACATAACTCACTTGTATGTCGCAAGCGTCGAGCTGGAACTGAGGATAATACTGTACTGACAGCTATTATTAGCACTACTCCTAAAAATTCAGTACCCTCTGCTCATACAGAAACCCTCCCTACACCTTATGTGCTTATCGAAAAACTCCAGCCTTCAAGCTCTGTTTCGGTACTATCCTCAGAAACAGAACTTCTAAAGTTGTTTGTAGGAGAACTTAAGGCCGATTTAAGGGACTTAAAAAACAATAAGTCAGTAAATCCTGGAATTTCTGAAACCAATACCAAAATATCCAAATTATCAGATCAGATAAGCGATATCAGATCGCAGGCCTGTGAACTGACACCTTCTACTATCCTCATGAAAACGGTAGACCTTAACAAACTTGACACAGAATCGGTATTTAAGG